CGATTTTGCATTGATGGTTCTTTTGGCTGTTCCTGCTTTGGGGTTCGATTCATTTCGATTTTGAGGGGGGGGACAGGGAGTGTCAAAACTTACTACAGTCGTAGACGAAAGCCCCGGACGTGCGGTACAGAGACTGGCTGGAAGGGAAGGCCATCTGACAGCTACTATTCCCGTTCACTGGAGAGTTGTTCAAGCCGATCCTCTGTGACTCGAACATCTCTCGCACAGAGTGGAAGTTCTGCTGCTGGCCCGGGTAGCCCGCGGCGGCTGCCGCCGCCGCCGCACTCGCCAAGTGGCCTAGGTCTCCGCCCGCCTGGTTCAGGTACCACGAGGTGAGGCGGCCTTGGTGGGCCGCAGGGTGGTGGCCGGTTTCCTGGCCGCCGCCGCCGTGACTCAGGGACGAGGAGCTGCTGCTGGTGACTGGGGGCAGAGAGTAGTCGGGGAGGGGGTCGTCCACCGCGGAGCCGCCGGTGCTTCCCGGTGCGCCCTGCAAGTGGCCGCCGCGCTCTCCGGCCGCGTACAGGCTCATGGCCTGCAGGTTGCAGTGGTAGGTCCCGGCGCCCGCCGCGCCGCCACCGCCGCCGCCCCCTCCGCCGCTGCCCCCTCCCGAGCTGCCGGCGCTGGAGCTCTGGCTGCAGGGGGAGCTGTAGAGGGAGCTCTGGCCAGGCGAGTAGGCGCCGAGCGCCAGCGGGGGTGCGATGCCCGAGCGCGAGGACCCGGCCGCCGAGGCCAGGAGGCCAGAGCTGAGCTCCGTGGCCGCGCCCTGCGGCGACCCCCGCAGCGACGTCATGATGTTGTCCACGCTGAAGCCCTGGCTGTGGTGCGGCGGCGGCGGCGCTGGCTGGGTGGGTGGCGGCGGCTGCGCGGGCTCCGCGCCGTCTAGGCTCAGCGGCCGCGCCGAAGGCAGGCTGCCCGGGGGACTGCTCCCACTCGACAGGCTGCTGCTACTGCTGTCGGGGCTTTCGATTTTGGGCACCGCGGCGGCGCTGCCGCTGCCCAGGGCGGCAGCCGGGGACAAGGGCTGGGGCGGCGAGGGGCACGTACCGTTCTCGGTTTTGATGTCCTGAATGCGCACCGGCGGCGGCTGCGGTCCGGGCGCGGCGCCGTCGGCCTGCTCCGGCGGCGCGGGCGGGGGCTGGCGGCCGGGCTGCGGCGGCGGCGGCTCCTTGAGGTGCAGCCGGTCTTTCTCCTCCTTGTCCTTCACTGCGTCCTTCTTCTTGAAGCGCCGCCGCCGCCGCAGGAAGCTGCCGTTCTCGAACATGTTGTACGAGTCCGGGTCCAGCGTCCAGTAGCTGCCCTTGCCCGGTTTTTTGTCGTCTCGGGGCACCTTGACGAAGCACTCGTTCAGCGAGAGGTTGTGGCGGATGCTGTTCTGCCAGCCTTGTTTATTGTCCCGATAGAAAGGGAAGCGGTCCATGATGAACTGATAGATGCCATTGAGAGTTATCTTCTTGTCGGGGGCGTTCTGGATGGCCATGGTGATGAGCGCGATGTAGCTGTAGGGAGGCTTCACCATGTCCTTGGGCTGCGGCTGCGGCGTGTAGGGACCGTAGGCGCGGGCCATGCCGCCTGGGTACTGCTCGGCGTGCGCCGGGTGCGAGTACACGCTCATGGGGGCCGGCATGGCGGTGTAGCCGCCCCCGGCCGCCGCGGCCGCAGCGCGGTAGTAGCTCTGCTCTCCGCCGAGGTAGGGCACCACTCCCAGGGAGTTGGGGCTGGACACGGAGTAGCGCGCCTGCATGGCCCCCGCTCGCCGCCGCCGCCCCGCGCCTCCCGCCGCCCCCCACCCTCCCTAGGCCGGCCACGCCAAGCCGGCTGCCCAGTCCGAGTCCGGGCCCCACAGAGCTGGTGCCGGGCCGCTGCGCTGAGTCCGGCTCGGCCGCCGCCGCCGCCTCCGGGAGCCGCCGGCCGCGCACGGCCTCTCCCTGGGCTCTCTCGTGCTCCTGGGGCGCCCCGGGCCACTTCGGGGTCGGTGCTAGGGGAGAGGGCCGGACGAGAACGCGGCAAACGGCCTTAGAGGAACCCGCGGAGCAACTTCCAGGCGAGGACGGCAAAACAGAGCCAAAACTAAAAAACAAGAAGGCGCCCTTCTCGCTACACTGCCTGTGCCTTCCAGGAGACTCTGCCCTGAGTCGCCGGCGAAGGCGGCCAAATAACCAGGGGCGGGGGGCAGCGCGCCGGCCGCCTTCTTGGGCCCCGCGTCACCTTTTTTTCAGTCTCTCGCGCGCCGGCCGCTTAAGGAAGCATTGGGAAAACTTCTGAACTTTTGAGCATCCGTCACCCAGGCGAGGACTTTTTTACGCAGTTACATTTTTTTCCGGGCAGCGGAGCCCCGCCCCACCACAGCGGCAGCAGCCAATGGTAGGCGAGAACCGCCTCTGAATGAGCCGGAGGCCGAACCCTGCCGGCCCGCGCCCAGCTGCGGGAGGACCGCCGGGCTGACCACACGCGCGCCGGCCGTTCGGAGTCCGCGCCCCTGCCCCTGCCCCTGCCCCTGCTCCTACCCTTGCCTGCGCCAGGCTTGCCACCCACAGCAAGATCGGCCCCCTATTCCCAGATGCCCACCGCCGCCTCCGCCGGTACTGTCTTCCACCCCCAGCTCTCTGCACAGGCGTCCTTTGGTCCCGCAGACTTCCTGGGTCCTCCTGTACCCTACGCAGACCCTTCCTCTGTCCATTGCTCCCAGATGTCACCGAGTCCTCGAGCCCCAACTGGCTCTTTCCCATTCGGTGGCGGATCTTGCTGGCACCAGGGCCGGGATTTCCTGGGCCTCTCTTCCCCTCCTCCTTTCCCCTCACCTTTCCTCTCTTTCCACTTCTTCCCTCCCGTCGCCACTCTCACTGGGTTCACACATGTGTTCATTTGACCCCCACCTGGAGGTTCTCTTGTCTGGAGCTGGGTTACAAAAGACACAGTTTTAAAGGCTCAGTCACAGCCATGCTGTTCCCAGTGGGGCAGGAGTTGTCGCCCCACCTCGTCTTCCCCGTGACCCCTACCCAGTAGAAATAAGGTGTGTGGGTGTGGGTGGGGGGAGGTATATGGGGCCTTGACGGACCGCTGCCCAGGTAGGATCCGCCCGCCCAGCTTCAAGACACCCTGCTTCTTGTGCCCCAAGGGCCCTTGGCGGCCCGGGGGTGCTTGAGGCTCAGGCTGCTGAGGCCAGGAGGCTTTCTGCGCTTCCCTGTGGTGGGGAGGGGGTGTGCGCATACGTGATCCCTAAGGTTTGCCACTGGCCTATGGGTCTTGTCTGGTCCGGCATGTTTCTGCTCAGAGGAGGGGTCACGCTTCGGGCTCAGTGACATTAGCAGGTGTGATGACAAGAGGCAAATAAACACGTCCAAGAACTTAACGCGTCTCAGTTTAACCTCCATCTCCACACGCGCGGGGCTGCCGGCTTTCAGAGATAACGGGTGTGCTGGGGGAAAATGTTCAGAATCACACCTGCAGAATGGCTCAAGGATTGGGGTGGGGGTGGTAAGCATACAAAGCGTGCCCTTGTGCACGCCTGAGATTTGCAGTTTCTGAGCGACTGGAATGGGATGGAAAGACGACAGAAGAAAGGAAACGAAGGAGCAAGAAAAAGATTGGCCTCCCTGTGCCTGCAGCGCATTTCTGTGTTTTGGCAACTCTAGAAAAGACCCTCCTGAAGACTGAACACTGGATTCTTTACTAGAAGCTGGGGAAACTGGCAAGTTTAGGAAACTGTGAAGAAGAGTAGTGTGACGCATCTAACACCTCCACTCCCCCAATTTCTGACAATCTTTAACTGCAAGGATGTGTTGGGAGCCCCTTTTGGCTTCTCAGCTGGAATCCGGTTTTCTCACTCACAAAAATTCTCCTTGTAGCTTCAGCTGTTAGATGTTAAGACGCTATCTTGTGTAGCGGGCTCAGCTCTGTGTCACTTGAACATTAAAAAACACACAACAACAACAATGTGTTTCAGAATGGACATTTACACGGAGAGAAGAGGACCTGCTCCTTCTAGAAGTAGCCTTGGGGGGGGGGGGCGGAACTTCCCATTCCTGTGGAAGCTACCTCTTGGCCTGCTGTGCTCTTGGGACACTTGAAACTCCTTTTCCAGGGTGTTTGAAAGGCGGGGTCTCGGATTGGAAGAAACGCTTGATTTGTCAGCAGGAGGCTCAGTACTTGATATTTCCTAAACACTAGCAGGGGGAGGGAGGGAAGAGAAGACCCCCGACTTGAAAAAGGAATTTGTGTCCCATTTCCAGCCCTGTACCCTGACATAACCAGCCCCTTTGGCTGAGGCTTTATGGGAGCATTTTGGTTTCAACCTGGAGACCAATTAAGTGGTCTCCCTAAACACCCCAGCGTTTGGTGAATTTGGACTTTAAACTGCATCTCCACTGCTGGCAGTGCTTGGAGAGAAAGTGGCAATAGTGACTCGTTTGTTTTCCTATTGTGGGAAATGCCAGCGGACCCTGGGTGTTGCAATGGACAGTTGTGCTTCACTGTCTCCCCCCAGCTCACCATCCCCTGCCCTCTCCTCGCTCTCGATCAGCAGCCCAGAGAAATGTAAACAGCTTGTTATGTAAATTGCAAATCGAACAGCGGGGGTGTTCTGGGCTCCCCGCTTTGGATATAAAAGTTGCTGTTGTGAAATTAGTATCTGGCATGCGGAAAAAAAATGGAGAGGTGCAGTTTTATAAAGATCAACTTTCCACTGGTTTAGCTCTGGATATTCGCCAGGAAAAGATATTTGCATTTGTATTTTATAAGCTTACTCGGAAGCAAACCTCCAGTAAACGGCTTGATTATATTTCAAGTACTTTGCTTATTTTATTATTGTTGTTAGTGGTCTTGTTTTAACGTTAAGGCACAGAAATAAAGTCTTTGGGGGAATGGGTAAAGTTTTTATTTTTCAGTTTAAAGTTTTTGATTGCCCCGTTTTTGCTGCTCCTCGGGGTAGTTCAATCATCTGTCTTCCGGACAACTACTGACTCAATTGGCAGACATGCCCCCGCAGGAAACCTTGGGCTTCTTTTCTGACACCTCCCATAGTTGCAGCCTGAAGGTCCTGCAGGCGACAGCGGTAATGGATGTTTGGTGGAGCTGTCGTTTGGCCCGCCCTGCAACCCCCAGCCCTTCCTTGACCTGCCAGGTGGGGTTACAGTTCCCGGGGCCCACTTACGGGCTCATAGCTCTGAGGAGGGGGCGTGACGTCACAACGATATTTAAAACAAGGCCTCACCGGGGCCCCTACTGTAGAAAAGAACCAGGGAGATGTGGCCAGCACTCCAGGAAATGCCTGGATTTGGGAACGTGGGGACACCACAGGAATGTGTGTATTGGGGGGAGTGGGGGAGGAGATGGTGCCCTAACGCAGGTCACCAGGAACCAGAAGGAGCTCTTTCTCTTCTTTTTATTCCAGTCAATAATAATAAGGAAAGAAGGATCGGGCGAGCTCCGAGTTCAAGAAATGAGTCTCCAGGCGTCTGAGCCCTGCCTAGGGTGCATAGATTGTCCTCTCCGTCAGAGACCCCTCGGGGAGTTTCCAGCGTCCCCCTCGGGCCCGGCAGCCCAATCGCCCCTGTGACCTGCCCAGACCCCCTCCCAGTCCTCTGTTCCCGCATATCCAGCTTTTGGCTCTCGGTTTTGCCCAGGAAACCGGCCCATCGTCGGGGGATCTAGGACGCCCTCGAGAGATTTTTTTTTTTGGGGGGGGGGGGAGCTTAGCCCAGGAGCTGCGGAAACAGGAAAGGCGGGCTTAGAAGATGAGGGAAGGGGCTTCCCCTGTTCTAGACGGTGCCGCTAATCTAAGGGATTCTGCAAACCCAGGAGGGAGGCTGCACGTCAGCAGCTCCTTCACTGTCCCCTTCGCTGCTAGGGGACAAATTGGAAGATTAAGGCATTTATTCTGCCAATGAAATTTGAAAACTCCCCACTAGACCGAAATCACAAACAACTGCAACAAAGTCCGTGTGGGGGTGTCTTTGGGATATTTAGATACATGCCTGTAGTTCTACATATGGCCTCATTTGCGTAGACCAGGAGTCCAGGGGTAAGGGAGGATATTTCGGTGTCAGTAACCGTTATTCGTTACCAAACCTTCAGCTCCGAAGGTAGCCTTGGTCTTCAGTGTGACTTTTCAGCTGAGGGAGGAGGCGGGGACCGAATGTCTGGGTTGCCGAGACTCAGCGGGTTTCTTCCTTCTTCCCTCTTAGTTGGGGGGCTTCTGAGAAGAGATTGAGTTAACGCAGTACCTCTAATTCTGCTCCCTCCTCAGCAGAAAAATACTTGCTACAATAAATAAAAAGAGCATTTGTTTTTCGATTATGTTTTAAAGTGATCTACATTGCCTGTCTACATGATTGAACTAATTGGATAGTTGCTCTGGTAGAAGCAGCCCTTCACAGTTTATGTGATGGAATAATTTAACGTCATTCCCCCAGTCCCCAAGCTGGGCTGTCCCCCTAATTACACAGGAGAATGCTTGCCAGCACCTGCTCTTGGTTACCCCGTCGGGCTGGCCCACCTGTCACCTCAGAGCCGGGCTGAGTAGCAAGAAAGGGACACAAGGCATAAGGGAAGTGAATCTTTAAGTTGTAGTGGCTGGCTACGGAAGACTCAGGGGTTCCTTTGTCCAGGCAGAGGTAGATGGAGACCCGAAATGTCTTCTTTAATTAATAACCCAGGACAAGAATAAAATCTATAAAAGGGTGGATGATCGGAAAGGATTAGGTGCCTGCGCGTGCATGCGCGCACCTCTGTGTCCTCGCATCCAGGTCCCCAACAGACTCAGGGCGGCTGCCGCA